CAGAGGCTTTTCTGGCAGGAACAGGTGCTGTAGGTTCCTGCTGCAAACCTGCAGTTAGCCATTTCTATGAAGAATCCTGACTCCTTTCCTTGGTAAATGGTATGTCAAGATGGCAGTCTGGGCACTATGGGTAGAATTCCTCTTAAAACGGCTTTGTAGTGCTGCTTGATGTTTGGATGGATGACAAGCCCATCCTCCTAGGCATGTCATTATTCCCACTTTCTACGGGCCTCTGTTTCCACTTGGATACTCACTATTCCTCCCCTGCTCAGAACAGCCAAAGCTCCTGTGATTCCTCAACTCTTTTTCCAACCAGACACAGTAGTGATTCCTTCATCCTTTCATCTCCTTGTGCCAGACACCCTTCAGACATCCTCCCTCATCTCTGGGCTTCTAAGACATCAACATGAGGAACACTTCTGTAACGTTTAAGAACGGTAGTACCCCTTCCCCCCCCAGACTATTCCTATTTTTAATAAGATTTCTCAAAGAGAGCTCATCTCCTGTTTGCTGTCCAAGGCTTTGGTGGACAAGCAGTCTTTCTTAACCCATAACAATTGTGCTTTGAAACACCATGGATAATAGGCAGCCCACTGACAGAGCCAGGGAGCCTTTAAAGGACAACGATTCCCCCAGCGGTGTGTGTATGTTTCCCAGGGAGTGTCCAGGGCTACATGTTGAAATTTTTAACTAGAGTTACTGGCTGAAAAAAAAAAACTATTAAGGAGTTAGTTTATCTGAACCATTTTTAGATCACATACCCATTTGAATATCTGATGAGAATTATGAACTTTCTCTCTAGAAAAACATACACGCATGCCAAACCTGATGAACAAGTTCATGGGCTTCAGGGACCTCTTAGGATCTCAAACTCTTTTGGAAAGTTTAAGTTGCTAGTCCAGCTAGGTCCTGATTTGCACAGGCCTGTTAGAGACAGCAGGATTTGAAGCGGGGCAGGAATCTGGATAAGAAGGCATCTGAGTGCGTGTTGAACATCACTCCAGTGCACTAGTCATTCTTTGGTCTAGGGAAATGCTAATTCTGGTGCCAGTTCATGAACTGTCTGTTATCCTTCCACGACATGAGTAGTATAGAGAATGAGTAAGCTTTTAAAACTTGTAATAATTCTCGGGACACGGCAAACACTCAAACATGCCAGTTGGTTTTAGGCAAAGAGAAGACTACTGAAGAGCCACCAAAGGTGACCATCCTGAGATGGCACATGAGGAGCTGGGGAAAGCCCACTAAGAGACCTTTGGCCTGTTGTGGCCACAGAGTCCTTGGCAAATTCTACTTCGTGTGCACTGAATGTGCCTTAAGGCATATTGTCTTGCACTTTCCACCCCAGGACAAGTCAAAGTATCCCGAATAGTCCCCACTAAAGGAAGGGGATGCAGCTACTGGATCTTCCATTTCTTCAGAGCCCTGTCTTGCTTACGTCTCACAGCAACATGTGAGGCAAACCCCATGTTTGCCTCAGAGAAACTAACAGGTGACAGGAATAGTAATAATAGCAGTAGTAGCTCGTATTAGCTGAATTCTGACTACATTTAGACCTCATGCTGATACTCTGTATGTATCAACTCATGTAATCCTCATAGCAACTCCCATGTTGTAGGTATTGGCACCCCCAAACAAGAAGATGACGGTGCAGAAGAGTTAGGTGGCTTGCTTGAGGTGACTCATCTCTTATACGGCAGAGTTGAGATTGGGATGCAAAATTCCCTGCTACAAAGCCTGTGTGGCCAAATACTACGTTGTATTCTAAAAAACATAATAATGTCCCCTACGAAATAAAGAGCTAGTTTATGTAGAGGCCTTTGTCTATCTTGCTAGGAGGTTTTTGCCAATGTTGGGATGCTTTATTCTCGTGCTTAGTTCATTGAAATCTTTACAACTTAAAATCCACAGGACCTTCTTATGTTCTGTGCTCTCACTAAGAAATCTCAGTAAAGAAAAGGACGTTTGTCATTAGATATTGTAGCTCTGAGGCACATAAATCCCGTGAGCGCTGGGAGAAAGGAACAAAACTGTAGGTGAAGGAAGGGTTTTTGTGTAGACACAGAATCACGGAGGTTCTGATGTATCTGACATTTGCGAAGCCAAGTTCAACATGTTGTTTATGGATGATGTGAAGCCCATGTCATATCCTGTTTTATGATTCCAAATGAACAAAGCAGAGAAAAGTTCCCAAAGGAAAACTGAGCAGGTGTTTTGGGGCTACAGGACATTTATTTAGTTACATGGTGGAAGGTTATCTGTTTGATGGTAGAATCATTAAATTGCCTAGGGTCATGCATGGGAACGCGCTTTCATGGTTTCTAAAAGAAATCTGGAATGCCTTTTATTTCCTAAAACATCCTTTTGCAAAAATGTCCTTGACACCGAGAGTGCTGACTAATTCAGAGAGGCACTCCCACCACCACTGCCAGGAAAGCCGTGGCAAGTGTGAGAGAGGCCTGGATTGGCAGGGGCTGGTGAGGTGGTCAGGCAGACAGAGTAATGACTTCCTGATGGTAATACCAATGACACACGAGTATGTATTTGGAAACTCTTAGTTCTCACTTTGTAAAAAGGTCATGACTCTGGAGACACAGAGTGACCTGAATGCTTTGGACGAGAAAATCTCTTGTTACCCTTTATTAATTTCCTTATCTTGGCCCTACCAAATGGTGTCTCAAAGTTCACCTAATTCTCTAACTCCATCTAAATAGCCCTGGAGGTAAGCCTAACTGTATAATAGTCAGAAATAAAATAAACAAAAACAGGACTCAAACACGGTGTACTTTCAAAGTCTTGTGATACGTTTCCATATTAACTTGAAAAAAGTGAGTGCATGTCAGTCACCTGGATTTAAGACTCTGAATCACTGTGACCTTAGTATTTAGCATCTAGAACCACTCCGAGCACATGGTATGAACTCCAAAGAGATCTGTGGAACAAATGCTGTTAAATGATTTCTCATTTAGTTCTAATAAAATTCTAAAGTAAAAGTATCATTGATAATTTTTGTTGTTGTTAACATGAATCAAGTTTTTTGCTTCCCAGATCCAGCATATCTGCTACATAGACTCTGCTGAATATGTATCTACTATTCATTCACTCGTTCTAAAAATATTCAATTTTTAAAATATCCATAATGGTATTCTGGGCACACTGAATACCATTTAATTCAACTGATAGGAAACTCTGGAGAAAAGTCTGGAGATGAATATGGTTTCATGCTTTATTCGTATTTTATTCAAATATGTCTTATGTTTTTAAGTGGCACTAAAAAGTCGAGGTTGAATATGCTAAGAGAAAGCTAAGTGTTAAAACTTAAATTCACATTTAAAGTGAATTAAGACTTAAGACAGCAATACAGCAGGTGGGTTGTTTTGTATTAGTCTTCAGGGGCATGCTCCGGATTGTGTGGTGTATTGAAGGGCCTCGGCCATCGGTGCTTTCCATGTGTCTATATTTTAGCCTTGAAAATACCCTGACACAGTATGGCTTTCAATAGGGCGACCATATAATTTATCATCTAAACTAGGGCCATTTAGAGAGTGAATGGAGGTATTATTAATAATTATGCCAAGGCCACAGACATACATGGGACTCTTTAAGGCAAACAGCGTCATAGGATCATCCTAGTTCTTGGGAAAAGACACAGGTTGGACGATCAGAAATTGTCATATACTGGCTGCCATATTATGTGCAAGTCACTTCCCCTTTCTAAGGTTTCAGTTTATTCCAATGAAAAGTAAAGGAGTTGTACTAAGATGAACCTTATTGTTTTCTTCAAATTCTACCATTCTATGATTATAAACAGACTCGAAGGAAAGAGTTTCATTATATTTTTGAAATAGTCTCAAACTAAGAGGCAGCTGGTTAGGCAAACATATGAAATATTCATCCTCTCTCCTTTTTAAAACAGCATAGTTGCAAATGGTTACATCACATTTAAGATGAATCAACACTTGCTTGCCTCGGGTTGGCAACAATTTCGCCTTCACCACCCGAAGCATTGTGTTCAGAAAGATTCTAAGGACACATCTGGGCTCAGCAGAAAAATAGGCCTGGATGAATTAGTGATGCCTTCTGCAGTCAGGCGAACTGCAGAGCGCACCAGGGACCGAAAGAGGGGTTAGAGCACAGGCATGTGTGTCAGCTCTCGGCCACAACTGGCCTAGGTCTCTGGTGCTAAAAAAATCAAACAAAAAAAAAACTTCTTATATTTAGTACAAGTCTGCCCCATACTGATATCTAACGTTGTGTTAGTCTCAGAAAGATGTACCGAGCCACATGAGCAGCCTAGAGATTTTCTTTCCCTCTGGCTCTCAATGCCCTTTCATATGCACTGAATTGCAGAGTATAAGGAGCTGTCCTTGACCCTGGCTGCATGTTAGAATCACATAGCATTTCTGTGGCTGGGGTCCAGCCATTGGTGTTTTTAACCTCTCCCCACAACGAGGGAATTTTACTCACCAGCAGGGATAAAAAGGCTGGAAAGGCAGAAGAGAGTCAAGACATCTAGATCCCAGTCCTTTTTCTTTACGAAGGCTGTGTGACCTTGGATATATTACTTGGCTTGTCTTAAGTCTATAAATGAATCTGGACTGTTAGGTATTCTCTAGCTATAACTTTCTGTGACTAAAAAAATGAGGAGGTAAAGAATAACATGGTGTGTTAACTGAAGCAATATAGATGTCCTCCTTTTTGGAAATTCAAGGAAAGTTGACTTTATTGTCGAACAGGTAAGTCTACGGTAGATGATCAGGAAACAAACATGTATCACTTTCCCATGCATGATCAATCACAACTTCTTGAAAACGGCAGCTAAGTCATATGATATCATCTATAGAATCCCCTTTCTCAGTCGTTCTTGGAAATGATTTTTTTAAACACTAGAAAACCATGGACATAATTTACTACTTCCACTACATTTTTTTGGTCATCGCTTGCACCAGACTTCAGCAGCTCTTTCAGCATTCCTGTAATTCGGTAATTTAACATCTCACCTGAGTGACAGCAACGTTTGTCCCATCGGTGACTTCCACACTCATGTTATAGACGGACCTCTGCTCTGCATCCAAAGGTTTTGCGATGACAATTGTCCCGACACCCTTCTCTGCATCAAATGCGCTGTCAAAATTCCCCCCTGATGATTCCACAGAAACATGAAATTAGCAAATCTGAGAACTTATTACATTTGTTATATCATATATCTTTAAAGCGAGCTCTTATACTGAAATATTTTTTGACAGACATCCCTATGGCTCAATTCTGTACATTGTAAATGGGACCTCTTTATTTCTAACTTGATTCATAGTTCAAAACACAGCCTCTACAATGCATAACAAATGTCATGAAAAAGGAATGTATTGCAAAGAAAATCCTCAGCAGTAATGTTAGAGTAGTGAAGCATAAACTGACTCCATTAAATATTTAGAAACCTAAAGGCCCTTCAAGTATTTGTGGCTTCTGTGTTAGAAATTTATAGATCTTTTTTTTTTTTCAAAGTAGATTAAATTCTAAGCAAATAAATAATCCAATTATTAATGAAATGGGTAGACATTAAAAATCTATTCTAGGATTGATGGTAAACATTTGGCTGCTAGAACTCAGATTCCCTTAATTAAATGTCAGAAATAAAATTATAAATTCTAAACAGTAAGAAAAAGCAAAAAAAAAATTCATATTAAAAATTCTGTATCGGTAAGCTGGGATATTTATAGAAATACTTATTTTGCCATCTTGACAGTAAAAAAACCATTTTTTTTCCCTAAAAATGCAAAAAGTCTAGGAAGAATCACAAAATAAAATTGGGAAAGGAGTAGAAGAAAACATCAGTTTATATAGCAACAAAATATAAAAAGTTCACATGAAAGCTTAGAAAACCATACTTTCCCTTCAAGCCCGGGCAAGGTATAACTCACAGTCTGTGAATGATGTGGGTAAGACAACATTGCCATTGTTGAAATGACTGCTGATGTTTCCAGCTCTGTGAACCAAAGTGTGGTTTATGATCTGCCCAAAATGAAATATTTTTTTAAGGGGGAGAAAGATAATGGTATAAATGCTAGAACCATTTTAATTAAGCATGAGTATATGTTTGCAAGCTCTATTTACTTTGGCCTGAAATACCACGGTGTTGATTTTGTTCTCAGACAGTAATTTTATTTAACTATAGCATATGGGGCAATGCATTTATTGAATTTCATATTTTGGAAAACTAACTTTGGTTTATTTTTACATTTCACATTCTTTGCACTTCATGTTGCTGATCAATGAACAATATATTTCTTTTATATAATAATGGACGAATAGTCAGTAAAGGAAGTCTAATTTTACCTGAATTACTGGAATCTGATGTCCAATGACACAAAATAAATAATATAGTTTACTTTAAAAAACCTGGCCATATATATATATATATATTTCAAATGCTTATTGCTTGCAGCTGTCATATACACTTAAGATTATTTAATTGGAAGAGAGAATATAATTACCCTTGACATTTAATTAAAGTTATGGAGCTATGAGAGCATCAGAGAATTGCTTGGGGATTACATATTTTTTCAAAAATTTCATCTATAAAGAGACTCATCTTCCAATTAATATCTTTTCACTGATTTACTGAGGAGCACTAAATGTTAACTCCAAAAACATTTGTTTGAAGATAGGATATGAAGAGAGCGGGAGGTCTAGGCTGAAAAGGGAAGCAAGCCTTCATGGTCACCATTTTTCATCCAAAGGGAATATTTTATGTTGAAAATAACATGAAATAAAATGGAGGGCTGATTTGAGAGTCTTGAAAAACCATCATCTTCATGAGCAAAAGAAAAAAAAAAAACATAATCATTTGCTATCAAGTGGTACATTCTGAGAAAAATTTTGCCATGGAAACTTTGAAAGAAAGGACGTAAAATTGACTTGTAAGTCCTGTATGGAAGGAAAGAGAAGAATGCAACTTCTCAATTTGTTTCTAGTGGGTATTAAATGCATTTAAAGTCACATTGAGAATGTTTTCCTCACCAAAATGTTAACTTTCTTAAATCTTAGGGCCATGATATTATTTGGAGGTTGGGGAAGGTGTCATTCTCTAGTGTTATTTTAAAATGTGAAAATGTGTGAGTCAAGTCAAAATAAAAATTATACGAATTATAAAACTTTAGTTTGCTCCAGTTCAAAGATGATTAAAAATAAAATTTAGAGAACCAGCAAGCATAGGTTCCAGTTTGAGTTACTGTTTAAATGGAGCAGCCCTATTTGCTCTCTCTCACTGACTTTGACTCACGTTCTACCCTAGGCCCTGTACAAAAACACATAATCATCTCATGCACTTAGTGGCATAACATTTAGACACGGCAAATAGAGGGTGTGCTTTTTCTTAGGCATTTTCATATCAAATAAAATGACTACTTTTACGGTTATTTTTTACAGCTCTCCCTTTTCCTGTGTGTGTTCATATATGTGTTCGTGTGTATATATGTATGCATGTATCTCCCTCAAATACTTTAGAACAGAAACCTCTGAAGGGACAGGGGAGATAGACCGTCAGAAGAGCAAAGCCAAGAGCACTTGAGAGGGAGCCTAAAAAAATGATGTTTCTCAGTCTACCAATACAGCTAGCAGCCTCGGACACTCATTTTCCAGATATTTGTGCCTAGTTCAACCAAGACATAATATTAAACAAAATCTTCCGGGTTTTAAAATGAATTTCTGACAAGGGACACAGAATCTAGACCCACAGTTTACCATCAACCCTCACACAATTTAACAACCTACTACTGAAGCATCCCGTTTCATAAATGACTCCATCTCTCTCCCCCCGGTCTCATTTTTCAGGCTCCCTTTTAGCCTGAAAGTGATTTCCTTTTCATAGGAAACCACATCCAAATTGTCCAGGGTGAGAATATCGAATGCTAGGAGTCCCTTTTCTCTAGCAGCATTCCGTTTAAACAAGGTGTGCTTCCTCAGAGCCAGTAACAGAACATGCAAAGCCAGAGTGGGTTCGGAGCAGCAGCGTTAGGCTCAACAAAAGGTGGGGAGTAGGGAGGACACTGCAGAGCTGGTCTGAGTTTCAACAAAGTGGGAAATCAGAAAAGTCACAGCCTGAGCGTTGCTGCAGGGGTGTGCGGCAGAGATGGTTAAAAGCAAGGTTGTGAACAGCCCACATAACAGATAATTCACATCAGGGACATCTCTCTTTGACCGTTTGCGGTCAAGACAGGTGTAATAGAGTAAACAAAGAGCAGAAGAGGCACACTGGATTTCTGTTGGATTCTGAAGTTAAACATTCCAAGTAGGAATGTCCTAAAAGGCTTTAAAAATGGGATATAAATGGAAATATTTTGAGCCAGCAGTTACTGCTTAAATGTGCTGGGCACTGGAGCACCGGGGCCATAATTCTGTCTAGTTTTTCTTTACAGAAGGGTATGAAGCACCTCTGTCCCTCCATAAAGAGAGGATCACGCAGCTTCCCCTTTAGAGAAGCTTCCAGGTCCCTCCCCTAGCATATAACTCTATTCCACTCCACGTGTAATTGTAAAAATGCCAGCCCACATCTAGTTGTCACCAAAAAGGAGGTGTTATGTGAGCGGCTTCCAGAACACGGAGCTGCCGAATCTCAATGAATTTAGGGCGCTGTGCACAAGCCGTTCGTTCGGGTTCGGCATGTACACTGAGTTTAAGAAAGAATGCTAAACACCGGTTACGGTTTGATCTTGAAAATGCTAAACACCAATTACTGTTTTTCTGTAATTTTCTGCCTTGAAATGAAAGCAAGCACGGTACCTGGCTGAAAAGGATATTTACTTGGAAGACAGGAGATACCAGGTGGAGGTCAGGAAACAAAGAAAATCCTTTCTAGAATGGAGTGTAAGTTCATTTTTCTTAAAACTATTAATAGTATATTAAGTCTTTCTAGGTTTCTTATTTTCCTGAAGTTTCTTCAGATGTGTTCCTATGGATCAGACTGTGGCTATGGAAAAATGAGAGGCTTATTTGGGGTCAAATGAGGGAAAAAGGACAGAAGAGGGGAAATGAAGTGTTTGATGTTGAAGGACTTAGAGCAAGGGACACCCTGATGCAGGAGCAGCTGTAGTAGAGGTGAAGCCTGAATGTGGTTTTTCTCCATAGCACTGGGTAAGAGTCTTCTGTTAGAGAAATATGGCCACCTGGTTAGGGAAGACCCAGAGGTGCCCAAGCTGTACTTGAAGAACAAGGCTGCTGCTAATGCTACCGGAGACTTCAACTGGCCTACCTGATTCATCTCTAAGTAAGTAATGGCTCCACTGGGGACAAGGTTCAAGAAAGACAGGCATAAGCTTATGACATAGCAGCAGCCTGGAGCCCAAAGTTTGAAGGAACCGAAGACAAATGAAGAATCACGGTGGCCTTCCTGTATCTGCAACACAGAAAGACACTTCAGCTAGAGTTGGACCTACGTGCTGGCACTCACCAGCAGAGAATCATTTTTAAAGAGTAGCCTTACAGTAAGCAAGATAAAGAAAGATACTTTAGCAGATGCTTACCATTTACAAAGAAAACTATTTTTCTAGCCTAAGTCAGGTGAAAAGATAAAAAAAAAAAAAAATGGGTGACAACATCCCCCATCCATCTGCAGATAAAGAGGAACTGTCTGAAGTGTGTAATAAAGGTGGCCTTCTCTATTCAAATATTTGCCAACAGAATAAAGATACAGGGACTGCACTGTGAACCAGATTGCGTGCACATTAGTGAGTCTGTAAATCAAGGAGCTGTGTGTGGAGTTGAAATCATAGTCCCCTGAGAAGTGTGAAGATATGTGATGAAGCCACAAAGGATTATGGGTTATTTGTGTTCCCTTCACTTTCTTTCCCTTTTAACACAGAGAAGGAACATGCTGTGCGTTGGGCTGTTTAAACACAGAACAGCTGAACTTTATTATGTTTCCTTTTAATTACAGCTTTCTTAACTCAGTTACAAGTAGGGCTTCTGTTTCTGGAAGCTGAAAAGTCTCACTGCATAACATTGCAAGCAGTGGTCTCCTTGGAGGCACAAGAAAGTGTGTGACAGATCGTGGATGTGAGGGTCTAGGCTTGGAAACGAAATCTTGCTCACTACCCAGTATTTGTGAATTCCTGTCATGGTGGGAGGCAAAGAAATGCAGTTAAACAAGTATTGGGTAGATGTGGAAATGCGGAAATGAGGAGACTTTACTCTCAGGGGAAAAGCATGCTGAAACACTATGTCTGCTCACTTGATGAGAATTTATTAGTTATAGCATTTGTAAGCTATCCGGGCTACGCCAAGATGATGTGTTTTCTGTAACTCAGGGTCTCTTTAGGTGTCTGAAAGCACTGTCTGTACTGGAACCAAATCTCGCTCCTGTTGGAAGGGTCATAGTGTATCTGCCCAGGCAAGGGCTGTACTTAAACTTGAGACCTCATTTCAGATCCACGCTGACATTACGTATCTGGCGCCTATTCCAGGCATTCACTGCCATGTTTCTTAAGCATCGAGGCACAGTCTTCGCTCTTTCCACTGTATGTTAGCTTGGCCAAAAAAGATGCTTAGGTAAGGAGAAAGGGAACAAAGAGATGAGAGTTTCCATGGCCAAAGATAAATAAGCAAGAAATCCTGAGAGCGAGAATAAAACATCTGAATATGATAAAGGAAACAATAGGTATTTAGAGAAGGGGAAAGATGTTGTCAGCAGACTGAGGAAAAAAAATGACTCTGATGGATTAGAAAGATTTTCAAAAGGAGGATTTGGTGGAATGCGGACTGTATCGATACCGAGGCAACCAGCACCTGGGAAAAGGATTTTACTTTTGCGGTGAAATAAAGATTTGGTGTTTCAAGATGTTGTTGGCTGGATGTGACTAGATTTACAGTGAAATCTCTGTGATGGAAGCTCCAGGCCAGAGGGACGACCCCGTAGGTCTTCATTCAGAGACCCACAAATGCACTGAAACCGAGGGGAATCTCGAGGAAGCGTGCAGCGTTTAGAAATACACCGATGAAGAAACAGGAAAACTCATGCCATGTTCTTGGTGATAGATCCTGGGTCTATATTTAACGTAGTTTAAAGGGATTCCTTCCAGGAAGGACTCTCATTTGTAAACTACCTCTTTCTTTTTGGACCAATGATATTTCCATTTTGTCAAAGGTGCATAGGGTGCCATGGCTGGCAGCACAGTGGAAGGTCACACTGACTCTCAGTGGGTTCCAGGAGGCATCGTAGGGTTAGTATAGTGGCTGCCTGGGGTATCTCCATCAGTCACCATAGTGTATTCCACTCACCCTGGGTTGGCAGCAACAGAGGTATTGGCAGGAGGAAGGAGTGAGGACACATGGGCCTTAATCTCAGGGGTTAAGAGTGGAGACGGGAGAAACACAAATGAAAATATACAGCGGCACTCATCCTGCTGACGGGAAAAGCTTGCCAATCAGGTTACATGCAGTACCGCCAGGCATGCTTACCTACAGAGAGTCACACACACACATGCAGGAATGCTGAAGGTTGCAAGCCTGACCTGCATAACTGGGGTCAGGCAATTGGTGAGACTAACCATGGTAGGAAGGCATGCCAGTAGGATTTCAAAAGCAGAGTATAAGTAAGGGCATCCCAGGGAACATGGGTGGTAGATGGGATGTGCTACGGGTCAGCAGGTTGCGTGCATGGATCATGCCAGGGAGAGCTGTGGCACTGCCAGGTGGTAGAGGTACTTGCAAACTGGAGTGTCCAAGGAGGAGGGAGAAAACACAGTGGCTGATGAGAAGGAGCAACTCATGTCATCTCAGTACAGCACACTAGACATTCTATTGCCTATTCAGTTTCTATCTACTGCACTCTCCTTTAGGCTATTTAAAATAAATCACCTTTTTTTTTTTTTTTTTGAGACAGAGTCTGGCTCTGCTGCTCAGGCTGGCGTACAATGACACAATCTCAGCTCACTGCAACCTCCACCTCCCAGGTTCAAGCAATTCTCCTGCCTCAGCCTCCCTAGTAGCTGGGATTACAGGTGCCTGCCACCATGCCCTGCTAATTTTTGTATTTTTAGTAGAGATGCGGTTTTGTCATGTTGGCCAGGCTAGTCTCAAACTTCTTAACTCAAGCAATCCCCCAACTCAGCCTCCCAAAGTGCTGAGATTACAGGTGTGAGCCACTGTGCCCGGCTAGAAATCATTATTGCACATATCTCTGGAGCCCCGGCACTACAGACACGTGTTGGAACCGAATTGCACTTTCTGTGACTCTTACTGGAGGTAGAAGTGAAGGAATCATTAGAGGTGACTGCACAGACAACCAGACCATGACTAAGCGCAACACTTCGTTGTGCCAAGAAAGAAGAGATTGCATTTGATAATACCTTAATGAGCTGGAAATTACCGGGAAGATAAGTAGAGACACCTTTCATGGATCAGAAGGAGTTCCATTTCAAAGATGTTGAGTGGGAATGAAGAAGGAAAGGAAAGCTTGGTGTGAGCACGGCCATGTACGGGATGGCATGCTATTAATACCAAGTAAGTAAAACCAACACATTTCACCATCACTTCATCCAATGGAACATGGAGAAAAGAGCTGTTTGCTTTTTGGAAGTTCAGAGGACTCTCTACGAAGGTTTGACTGCGAGCCATGGAACATTCTTTTTCTGGGCCTTGTTACAACCATTGTGGAACTTTCTAAATGCTTCTCCCAAGCACAGCCATTCCCGAGGGGAGAGGCAGGTTCCTGCCCATCCTATCCAGGCAGTGACATGTGTAAGGCAATGATTCCCCCAGACCGACTCTCTCCTGGATCCCCTGCCTCCCACAGAGAAGTGTGGGAAGTCAGCTTTAGCTCAACCCGGTGTCCGACCTGGGTGACACACACTCTCCTCTGTTTTAGCAACAGCCTGCTTTGTCTCCTGGTCCTCAGCACTCATTTCCTCTCCACTGCCTCTCCCTGCCGGTTTGTCAAGGGCCGTCGTGCTGGTTCGGCCTTTCCTTTTGCAGCCTGGCGTGCTTGCTTGCTTGCTTTCAAGGAATTTAAAGGTTGGCTCCTAGGGTCTATCCCACATGCTTCCATCTGCTTCCCCTATTCAGCTTGCAGGGGGAGGCTGACTGGCTATAGATCTACGTGCCATTTCCTGCCCTTCCTCTTGTGGACGGCAGCCAGGGGACTATCCTGATGGGGCTTTTGGTGTATGAATGGTACTACTGCTGCAAAACAGAGGGGCTGGAATACATTTTAATTTCTTTTTCAATTGGAAAAGGCCCAGTGAAATAAACCAACCTACAAAAAGATTAAAAACAAAACAAAAACAAAGCCCACATACCTCGAAGGCAAAGAAACAAAAATCAAAACAACCCCCCCCCCCAAAATCCAAACCTCATTACACCTCAGACAAAGGAAGTCATTGGATACGAGTAATGCAATAGCTGTTAGAGGCATATATGAAATCTGTGGGCCGCACTTCAGCCTGTCAGAGGCAGTTATGAAAGATGTAATTCAATTTGCTTCAAAAAAAAAAAAAAAAACCCGTAAAAGGCAGATTGGATAGCTGTATTTTAGCAAATGTGTTTGCACTAAGGGTACCTTCTGTTGAACAGTTCTGCCCACAAGCTGTCTGTAGAATATAGAACATCTCTCGAGCATGCTTGCCACCTTGAAGCAGGGCAGTCGGGAGCAGAAAAAAAAAGAACAGAATGCAGAAAAAAGGTGAAGAAAAAGAGAGAAATGAAGGACAGCAAGTCTAGTACCATCAATACATTTAGAAATGAGATTAGCCAAGTGTGACAATAGAATTTAAATGACACACAGAAAGACATTAAGATCGCAGTAAATAACGTACTATGGAAAATCCAGCCAGAGAGCACGTTCTGTTCAGCTTAGCTACAGAGTCAGAACGAAAGCACAGGTCGATTATTCATTTTACTGGCTCTTTTGCATTCCAGCACTACATATCTTTTAATCTCGGCGCTAACTGTTAGTTTTTCCTTTCTTTTCTTTCTTTCTTTTTTTTTTTTTTTGCTAGTTGCTTCATTCAATTATTACATTGCACGATACTGCTCTGTAAGACTCGAACTTACCAACTATGTCAAACCACAGAGGGGTGTTAGCTGGCTGCACAGACACCACCCCTACAATTTCAGTCACTCTATCACTTTCCATGACCGTGAAGTTATAAAACGGCTCATCGAAGGTCAATGGTATAGGTGAAGGGGGTGGTTTCTTAATCCATTCAATGTGGAGGCGGGCCGTGGAGGATTTCTGTGGGCGCCCATTGTCCACTGCCTTTATCTACTCACACAGGGAGAGAACAGAAAGATGTCTCAGACCTCTGACTGCTGTGGAGTTTGGATCTGTCACTCATGTTGCTGGGCCAAGCGTTCATCTTCAACCCAGTGTCAGCAAGGGGAAGAAAGGAGTGGAGGTCTGGGGAGAAAAGGCTTGGGAACGGAGGGGAACAACCCAGTCATGGGGAAGGCTTGCACCATGTTTGCCAGAGGCTGTCTGAACCACAGTCAACTTAGCAGATATGGAGACCTTGAAAGAGAAATGCTGTACTTACAGTTTGCGGTGATTTGTGGGCCTGAATAGAAATAGCTAATTTGATTCCTGATAGCACGATCCTGAACCTCGCCTCTGATGGTGATACAGGAAAGGGAGGGAAGCGCACTGTGAAACCTTACATATGTGTGAATGATATGTGCAGAAGTGTGTGTGTATGCATGTGGGGGGGTTGTGTTTTGCAGTGTGTGGTTGTGTATGTGTATGGGGGATTGTGTTTTGCAGTATGTGGTTCTGTATGTGTATGTGGGGGTTGTGTTTTACAGTGTGTGGTTGTGTGTGGGGGGGATTGTGTTTTGCAGTGTGGTTGTGTATGTGTGTGTGGCGGGGCTGTTCTGCAGTGTGTGGTTGTGTATGTGTGTGGGGGTTGTGTTTTGCAGTGTGGCTATGTATGTGTGTGGTGGCGGGGCTGTGTTTTGCAGTGTGTGGTTGTGTATGTATGTGTGTGGGGCACTGTGTTTTGCAGTGTGTGGTTGTGTATGTGTGTGGGGAGGTTGTGTTTTCCAGTGTGATGGTGTATGTCTCTGTGGGGGCACTGTGTTTTGCAGTGTGTGGTTGTGTATGTGTGTGTGGGGGGCATTGTGTTTTGCAGTGTGTGGTTGTGTGTGGGGGGATTGTGTTTTGCAGTGTGTGGTTGTGTATGTGTGTGGGTGTTGTGTTTTGCAGTGTGCTTGTGTATGTGTGTGTGGCGGGGCTGTTTTGCAGTGTGTGGTTGTGTATGTGTATGGGGGATTGTGTTTTGCAGTGTGTGGTTGTGTATGTGTATGGGGGGTTGTGTTTTACAGTGTGTGGTTGTGTGTGTGGGGGGATTGTGTTTTGCAGTGTGTGGTTGTGCATGTGTGTGGGTGTTGTTTTGCAGTGTGGTTGTGTATGTGTGGTGGCGGGGCTGTGTTTTGCAGTGTGTGGTTGTGTATGTATGTGTGTGGGGCATTGCGTTTTGCAGTGTGTGGTTGTGTATGTGTGTGGGGAGGTTGTGTTTTCCAGTGTGGTGGTATATGTCTGTGTGGGGGCACTGTGTTTTGCAATGTGTGGTTGTGTATGTGTGTGGGCGGGTTGTGTTTTCCACTGTGTCGTTGTTTATGTGTGTGGGCGGGTTGAGGCCCTTCAGTTTTGCTACCTGCAGAAAGGTCACAGAGAACTTTCTGGGCAGCACAATCCCTGGAGGCAGCGTGGAAGGGAGGACAGTGCTAATGACTCTCCTCTGTGGTCATAATCAGCTGATATAAAGGCTGCAGAAGCAAGTCTGCCTGCCCACTTGGGCGGGGTGAACGCCTGTGGTGTCCTGGACTCAAATGGAAGGGTCAAAAGCTCCAAGAAGCAAAAGCCAAAATGAAACAAAAACAAAAATAAATTTTTAAAAGGACTTCCAAGTATTACATTTAAAAAAATAACATTTATGGGCACATAACTGTTATAGCCTTTAAAAACAGTGACAATGCATAGCACCCTCATGCTATGTGTTCATGGATGATTGCTTTGCCCCAGAATATTCCCGTGGGATGAGAATCCTTGAAGATACATGTCTTAGACCAGCTTCCCCAGGAGCTAAGACCGGCATTTGAGAACATATTATTTTTTAGGGGAAAGTGCTTTCAGGAGAAAGGGAATAGAGATCAGGGTGGGTGGGGTAGGAGTTAAACCAGGATGTGGTCCTGACTGACGGGAGGGATCCCATGGGGAGCTCTGAACCATTAATTGCACCAGAGTTGAGTATAGCTTGAAGCAAGGAGATTGGACTTTTGTATCTGGGTGTGTCAGTCAGTGGCTGTGGGCTGTGAGACTCTAGTCTGGGAATAGACTCTCTTTCACCAAGAATCATCCAAGGGTGATTCTCTGGAGAAGTGGGCAGCTGTGAGTCACTGACAGCCAATACTTGCAGCAGCTGAGGGACAGAGAAACCAGTCTGATAAGGGGATCTGGGCAGGACACCAATAGTATCTACTCGAATTTATCTCCAGTCCTCAAAGATTCCCAAACTGCAGGTCTCACACAGCTGCAAATGGCACGCAGAAGCACATCAGAGCTTCTAACTGTAGAAACAGAGCTGGTGTTTTACTAATCTTTTTTTTTTTTTATCTCTCTCTTTCCACTGTTCTGGATATGTTACTGAGCACAGCAAAGAACCCAGGTCTAGACCACAGGAGAGAAAGGGCAGATCAAGGGACTCGGGCCAATAATAAAGCACTAACCTAGCAGAGAAGGATAAAGACAAAGAGAAGGGTGGTGGATGATGCCGGCTTTTGATAACTGTTGGGACCCTGGACCATGCTCATTGCTTGTAAGGACACCAACTGCCTTTCTAGAATAGGCGCTACTTGGCTAAATGCTTGGGGATTGGGGGAGCACGCTGGCACCGCTGAGATGGGAGCTTTAAGTTTCTATATGAGACGGTGCTCATGCTTGTTTTTACTCTTCTCATTTAATGAAAAATTCAGTCACTTTCTATTTGAGGTTTTTTTCAGTTCTAACAGAATAAATATCACTGTGATTTGTGTCTCACAATGTACACGGCTGCATCCATGCTCCATCACATCGGTGATCATTTCAAATGTTTTCGACGGGAAGTCTCAGCGGCATGTTGAGAGACATGTTTGGTGGTGGGTCGGATGTGCTGCCCTGCGGTTCCCCTACCTCTCCTTTACATCTATGTTCAGTACTTGGAGGATGATTTAGAGCTGCAGAAAGAGTGGCGGAGTCTGTGGTGAAACAGGCTGTGGCCTGGGAATCAGGGGACATGCTGACAGGACACAGCCAAAGGAAACTGTCTCCTTATTTAAGAACATCAATAAAACAGGCAAGCGTTCTCACCTGCACTCGCCTCCCAGAAAGAACCCTTCCACAGCTATGTGGCTTCACTTTTTACTCTAAAGATTTATTGCTCAAAGGAGCATACTTGAATAAGAACCTAACCACTTCCCCCCCATCTGCCGTGCTGCTGGAGTTTGGAAGATCTTACCGTTAGGATGTCATAACTCCCTGCTGTAAACTGCTTTCTAGAAGAAACCATCCCAGTTTTAGGGTCAATAAAGAACCTTCCGTCATCATTCCCATCCACAATGCTGTAGGAGATTTCTGCGTTGGGGCCCTCATCTCTATCAAATGCAAAAGCCCTGTAAATCGGTTCTCCTCTCTTCTTTCGGTCACGTTCCGGCAGCTTGATCTGGTAGACCTTCTCCGGGAACTGGGGCTTGTTGTCATTTTCATCCAGAACCTGAACCACCACCCAAATGGTTGACTGTTTTGGAGAAGGACCACCATCTGTCACAGTCACCTAAAAAGGAGAGTATGATGTGGTAAGAAAACAGAAAAATTATTCCTGCTATTCCTGCCCATGCCCACCCCACAAAGGTCAATTCTGTGCACCAGAACATCTCAAATTTTCTTATTCCTGTGGTTAAATGTATCAATTTGCATAGTTTATCCATAAAAGCAGGGGGAATGTTCCAAATCCAGTAGCGGAAATCATTGCTTAAAAGATAGTAGGGAATCAGGGCTGTCTTAGACGCTTAGGCTGTTATATCCAATTATCATAGTCTAGGTAGCTTTTAAAAAAAAAAAAAAACAGAAATTTTTTTCTCACAGTCCTGGAGGATGGGAATCCCAAGATCAAGGCACCGGTTTGTGTCAGGTGAGGGCCTGTTCCTCATAGACAGTGTCTTCTAGCTATGCCTTAACATGGTAGAAGGGGCTAGCTAGTTCTTTGAGGTTCTTTTTATAAGGGCACTAATCCAGTTTATGAGGGTGGAGCCCTTATGACCTAATGACCTCCCAAAGGTCTTACCTTCTAATACCATCACCTTAGCGATTCAGTTTCAACTTATGAATTTTTGGAGGACACAAACATTCAGACCATAGCCAGGACCCATTGCGGTATGGAGTGAAGAGGGAGAAGAAATGGAATTCCCTTTATGAAACAGGCGAGCTTATATACATTTAGTGGATTTAAACTATGTCCCCCTACCAGACACAAAATACAGTATAACCATGATCACACATTAACCATGGATAGTCCTTCTAAGGCATGGACAATGCTATCCTACCCAACTTCTTTTAGTATTCATTATCTTCTTTTTTCATCTTTCTATAGACTGAACTGTGTCCCTCTTAAAATTCTTATGTTAATGCTCTAATCACCCGTGTGTTATTATTAAGGTTAAATGAGATCATAAGGGTTGAGTCCTGATGTGACAGAACTAATGTCCCTATAAAAGAGGAAGAAACTCTAAAGATCCCCATCTCTCTCTGCCACGTGAACACACAGAAGGTAGCTGTCTGCAAGCCAGAAAGAGAGCCCTCACCACAAACTGAACCCTGCTGGAATGTTGATCTTGGACTTTCCAGTCTTTGCATTGTAGTCTGCATGTTTGTAACCCCTCAAAATTCGTATGTTGAAACCTAATTTTCAGTGCAATAGTATTAGGAGGTGGGGTCTTTAGGTGGTGATTAGATCATGAGGATTGACTTTCATGAATGGGATTAGGGCCCTTTGAAAGCGGCTGAGAAGGCTTGCTTGTCCCTTCCACCATATGAGGACATGGCCAGAAGGCACCATCTAGCAGGAACAAGCTATCATCAGCTGGTGCCTTGATTTTAGACTTCCCAGGTTCCAGAATTGTGAACAATAAATTTCTGTTCTTTAAGCCATTCAGCCTACGGTATTTTGTTACGGCAACCTGAGCAGACTAAGACACATCTCCATGTAAGACTGGATTTTTACACTGTCACTGAACAAAAGGAAAACTGTGATATATATTCCACTATTTGATGTTTGATTTTAAGTACATTAAATGTGTTTAACAATCACAAAATAGTTTTCTTTTCCTCTCTGGAAAACCGGAGGGGGAGGTACATCCCTTCCCCTATCGCTGTGAAGCTGTTCTTACGTGTGGCTGTGAAAATTGAGAGAATAGTAATGAAGAACAGACACAGAAGTAAATTTCATGGGTAATGGAAAAAGACTTTGCATCCTAGTGTGAGTAATTTTCTTATTAGTCACAGTGATGACAATCACTAATATTAATACCTAACATGTGAATGGTGTGACAGTTTATAAAGCACTCTTTCATGCATTATTTCATTTACTTCCAAAACATCCTCTTCCGTAAGTGAAGCAGGTTTATTTATTCCCATTTCACAGATGAGAACACAGAGGCTCAAAACAAACCACTGTTAATAAGCGCCAAAGCTAGGTATTAAATTTTGGAAATTCTTAATGTTCTGTTTAACAAAAAGAGTGGAAGGGCCTATGTTTCATCTTTAAATCATTAGCTTGAGTGAAACAGATTAGTACTTCCCTATCTGTATTTAGAGGCTGCAAGGAACATTAAGATGCACTCAGCGTCAATAGGAGAAAAACAACAGCGAATCAAAGCAGCTGGTCAGCTATTTTGTCACCTAATAAAACAACCTGACAGGTATAACGGAAACAAAGGCCACAAATGTGGGAAAACACATTAAAGGCTTTTTGCAAAATGGAATTGCAAGCTAGTTTCTCTTACAAGCTGCCTAGGAGGATAGCTTTAATAGATTTAAGATACACTTTCATAGGAGTTCTCACTTTCTTTGAAAAATCAATCAAGTTTCCTTCCAAGGTTACTTTCCCAACTGGTTTGTTGTGTTTCACAAAAGAACCACATCGGGACCAATACGTGCCAAGGTTGGATTCTGACTCTTGAGCTAACTCCCTCACATGCCGAGGCACATTCTGCTGCTGCTGGTGAACACGAATGTTACACTCCCAGGTGCCCTGTGTTGACCAAACGCATCGATTTCTTCGCTGCTTAACTACTCTGCCTCTTTTCTGCTTGAACGGCTTGTCCAAATTCAGGCAACTCTCACTGTCTTCATTGGGCACAAAACCATCACCTTGTCTATTAATGCCCTGCAAAGGGCTCTGAGACAGTGTTTTGGAGCTGCTTCGGGGCCAGTGGCTGCCAGGGAAAGGAGGCCCTCTGGGCAGCAGTTTGCTGCTCACTGGAGGATGTCCTGCTATTAAGTGCTTGTCTTTGGAGTATACCTGGATTTACAAACCCGGGTCCTTGAGATGTCTGCCTACAGATGGGAACTGTGATAGCTACACAGCCCTTGCAGAATCTCTCAGGAGTGCCATGTGTAGTGGGGTCACTTATCACCATGTCACCTCAAGTACCCAACTCCCTCGGGCCATGAGGGCATCCATTAGGCCCTCTTTTCTCTGGAGAGCTGTCCCTATCCTTTCTTTGGAGCTTGTCTACTCACCTTTTCAGTCTAGCTGAAATGTCACTTCCTTGAGGCTGCCTTCTCTGACCCCACAGACCAAGTGCCGGCTTTCCCGCCCCCTCATTCTGTACTGTTGAATCACCCCATGCTTTTCTTTTGTAGCACTTAACATTGTGGAAATTCATTAAATACACGATTCTCTACTGAAATGGATGAACGGCATAAGGGCAAAGACAGACTGTGCTTGTTTTCTCACTGCTCTCGCCCCTGTGTCAAGCCACAGAACATGTTCCTTCCATGCTTATTTAATGAATGAGGCTCTAATGCAGGTCCCACTTGAACAGTCTCTTTAGCCAAAGCAGTCTCACCTTGCAAAAATTTCTGAGATGGTTCAAAGCCCTTGACAACATAGCTCTAAGCTGCCTTTCTTGTGTTTTTGCCAATGACTCTTCCATCTCCTTACCCATGGTTTCATCTACTACCTACATGCTGATAATTCTCCAATGTGTATCTCTAGTGCCTAAGCCTACTTCCTCTTCACCAAACCAACATATTCACCAGTAACCCACTTTCTGGATCCTAGCACCTCAAAAGTCACAAACTGAAATCAATACCCTCAAACCTCCTCCTTTTCCTATGTCCGCTGTTTCAATACATGGCACCCCTATCTACTCACACACTGGTGCACACCAGAATCCTGGGCATCCACCTCCTCTGTCTGTCTATATCCAATTGAACTTGGAGTCCAGCAGGTGACTCACACACACCCCTTACCCCATGCCTATCTCTTCTGCCACACTGCCCTATTACAGTCCTTCTTGCATCTTGCTTGGATGGCCACAGCAGCCTCCTGACCTCGCCGCCTTCAGCCTTTGCCTTTGTTGTAGAGTGGTATTTCTTCTTCAAAAATCTGAGCATGTCACTGACCTGCATAACACTCTTCAGGGGCTCCTTGAAGACAAGGATCTACCTGGATTCTTCCCGCCTCTGTCCGGCCTTGATGATCAGCCTGTACTCTCTGCCCCTTTACCACCTCTATGCTCAGTTACATGGTGAGTCTGGGAGGTCCTGAGCTTGCCATGCTCTTATAGCTCATTCCTTTACGTAGTCATTTGTCGTCATGGAATGCCCTCTCCTGGGGTATATGCCTGACTCATTCTAGAAGCCTCAATCCAAACATTCCTGTGAAGCCATTACTTGCCTCCTGCAGACCTACACAGGTACCCTTAGTATGTTTCCATACCACTGTGTGCATAGTTCTAGGAAACTTAATTATCATCCTGAATTTTAAGTGTCCATTTGCTTGTTGGTCTCCATTCAATCCTTCTAGACTGTGAGCAACTTGAGGTCAAGAGAACTCTCTTATTCATTGTTATGTTCTGGCACCTGGTACAGCTCTAAGTGACAAATAAATGTTCTATGAAATCAAGAATTCATTTACCTACAACTCTTCCCTATTATAATAAGTGAAAAGAATATTTAGACACTGTGGGTCTCTATATAAAAATGAACATACAATCTCCCAAGTGCTATGATTCTATTCATAGGGATCAGCTAGAGACAGACAGACAGTTTTAACCATGCACTCAGAGGTTAATGCCCACTTTACGTAACTAAGAACACCAGCAATCTGAAGATTATGCAGAATGATTTTTAGCCACTCCCCCAACTGTGCTCACTTTTGTGGACATTCATCCACATTCTCCTGAAATGATTTATTCCCATGTCTAGCTCCTTCAGTGCACTGTGAGCTACTCAAACACAGGCACCTTAGCTTTTTCATCTTTCCTGAAGCCTAGTGTCCTCTCAATAAATGTTGCCTGAACTGAACTACAGTGCTAACCTCACAGTCTTAATTTTCACTATTATTTCTCTGGACCCATTCATTTTCCCTGCCACATTTGTGCCTGGAATATTAATAATGAATGATTAATGGAATAATCAATGGCATCATCAATGACTCCATCAGATTCTCAGACTTCAGATTTCCTCATACTTTATGCCTCAAATCCCCCTTGGAATTATCCCATATGAAAGGAGTAGCAGCACTGGAGATCGAAGCAAAACTAGCCA